CTTCTGGGTAGGTGCTGGAGAAGGAGTCGCACGTGCAGAGCCTGCAACACAGCCCTGTATGGGCTGCAGCGCCCTCAGCTGCGGCGCCTGCCAGAGGGAGGCCGGTGGCAGCGGCTCTGTGCGTGACCGTGCCGAGGCCCCTCTGTCCTGCTGCCACCCGCCTGGGTGGGTGTGTCGTCCTGCGATTTTTCCCCTGAAAATGCTCAACTGTTAGGAAGTAGTTATGTGATGTCTGAGGAAGGCTACTCATTGAGCAGCGTGGTGGAGAGAGCTAAGAGTCAAATCGTTAATACACGTTGGCTGTAAGACAGCAGATAGATTGGGACAAGTTACGTAAATGCTAAAGATTTAGGATTATTCTTAAGTAAGAAGCCACATCTTATATAAAAAAGCTGAAGCTATACTGGGAAACTTGCCCGTGGTTTATGCTTCCATTTCACAGAAATGAATTTCTTGTACTGCCCATCTTAAGCTTGCAAAATTATATAGTTGAAAATAATAGAATTTAAGATTAGATACTGATTGCAATTTATTCACACTCTGTTCTGACCCATGAAGATTCATTCTGCCAGTAGAAAGATCCGAACTTCTTGCAAATCATAAAGATTCTTACGTAATTTCCCAGGTTTTGCAGTCAGAGCTTTTACATAAGCAATGTCATGAGCTGGAGACCATGACTTTGTGGCTCTCCTCACCGCTGCCTTTGGAGCTGGGAGAACGAATATGCTGCTAAGCAGGATCTGCCAACGCTGTTCAGTCTGGTAGTTTATCACTGAAAAAAATTAAATTCCTTTGGTTCATTGCTGCACTAAGTAGAGGTCAGTGTAAATAAGGATAGTGTAATCTTGTTTATGTGTATGTTAGAATTATTCAGCTGTTTTACTCTCATTTTTCTCAATGTAAAGGAGTTTGTTTTTCAATAATAAGCCAATGGTTTCTTCATTAGATTTTTTGCAAGTAACCTCTTTGCTTAGGAAGTTGTCCCACTGCAAACATGAGGTGGCTAATGATTCCATTGCAGCTGGTTAAGCTTGTTGTGGTTATGGTAGCAGTCGGCTTTAGTTACAAGGAGAAGCAGAGAATAGTTACTTTCCTTGTTTTCACGTGTGGTTACGGTAGCCTAGAAAAAGAATCTGGTTCCTGATCTTTGTTTCAGAACAAGTGGCTTATATTTTAGAATAAGATGTATGTTTTAATGCAAAATGTGAAATAAACATTAAAAGCCTGTAAATACACACTCTAGAGCAAAATTTGCAACTTTTTCAATAACTATTCTCGGTTGACATGAAGAGACTTTTGGCAGTGTAAAGCAGTAGATTAAGGAGCTTTTCTTAACAGGAAGTAGAGGAGAGTGGTGGTTAGAAAACGCTGCCTACAGGAAGTTTGACACATGCGTCGCCCTTTGCGAAGTGACTCCGAGTTCAGCTCCTTATTTTGCTTTTCTAAGTGGCCGGAGCAGGGAGATGGCGGCTCCAAAGGAGATCCCTTGCAACCAGTGCACGGGGACAGCCACCGCGCTGCAGAGACTGGAGGGGTTTGCTAATCGCCTCTTTCACAGGCATGCAAAGGGTGCTGCCCATGAACAGAGAGTGGCCCTGGAAAACGAGAGCCACCACCTCTCTGAGCTTGCTCTCCTGTGGGACAAATCCAGTAAGTAGCGACTTTGCTTGTCTTATAGATGTTTTCTCTTCAGTTTGCCTAGGAAGTGAGGAACTTGCGTGTTTGTAATTGCTGAGCTGTGATAAATTTCAGAAGCAGTTTTACAATTTAATACCTAAAGGTGTTAATTTGGAGAACAGTGGTGCTGTGGCAGAGGGCTGGGTGGCTGGCAGGAGAATATAGTCCAGGTTCTGTCTTTTCTATTAAGCACCACTGACCTGTTTTGACAAGGTTTCCCCTCACTCCCACAGAATTTTTTGCCTATAAATTATTTCCTTTCTCTTCAAATTAAATCTGCTTTTTCAGCAGAAACAGAAAACTGTTTAAAATTTGTGATGTTTACACTTTGAAGTTTAAACTGTACGGACATTGCTGCACAAATTAGTTTTCTAATTATAGGACTCTTCATCATTTGTTATTTTATTTTGAGTGATATTTCAAAATGTGTCATATTGTGGTAAACAGCATAACATTGTGTTTGGTTTTAACTATTGCGTATTAACTTAGTATGGGAATGCTGAATATCATTACCTTTAATTTCTTAATTAGCGAACTGTTTAGCATACGTGTGACTTTCATGGATTTCATGGCTGCATTTTGGGTAATAGAAGTGAGAGGCCTCAAAAAATACCACAATGTAGGTAAATTGTCGTTTGATCTCTTTAAAGCCATGTGTCGTTTTGCAAGTCAGTTATTGTCTCTGTGGTTAAATATTCCATTTAAAATGTTACATTATGATAACTGATGATAATTTTGTGCTGGATTTTAGATTCATTGATGGATTTTGAATAGCATAATTATTTCTGTTGGATATAGGCCTTACTGGAAATGTGTAACATCATGGTGTTACCATGAAGAAAGAAAATGTCTCACTACTTTCAATTTAAATTATTACATGAGTGGGAACTGAATATGTTCTCAGAGGAGATGCCATAAACATGGAAGCAAAAAGGTGTTAATGCACTGACCTAAAATAGATTAAATCTAGGTCTCCCAGATGAGATGGAAAAGGATAGACTAAGTCTTGTCGGGAGGATATATGATGAAAGTGCAAGAATTGTGAGTCTCCTCTCCTTCAAAATATTTTCAAGTCAGTAAAAATAAACATATGCTTGTGTTTATATAGAAGCCCTTTTTATGTAAGTAACAACGACACTGAAGCAATTTCGTCTATTTAATACAAAGAAGAAATGATGTTGACCTGCTGACATGTACAAAGTGTGACCCGTTTGTGTACAAGTTTCTACTGTTTTTTTTTCCCCTCTATTTAAAGCAAGCTTCCTTGTATGACATGTTAGATGAGGAAATGGAACGCTGTGTCTTTTGGTGATAAACATGCCATTAATGGTGGTCTTATAAATGCTATTTTAAGTCATAACTAAGCACAGTGGTTGCATATATTGTTTTTCTGAGCAAAAGTTAGTGAGCTGATAGCTAATTTTTGGTTGGTTATATAAATTTGGGAAGGATGAAATCCTGAATCTTGCTCTCAATGCTTTGCTCTTAATTATCTCAGTATTTATTCAAAAAAAAAAAGTAGTGTAATACAGATTCTCATTTCACTACAACTTGAGCTTGAGGAGTGATAGAGAAGGTAGGAAGTGCGGTGTTGGTAGCGTTTTTGTCTACTAAGAGCTTGTAATTATATATTTAACGAAATAGAGCACGTGTGAAAATTCTCATCAGAAAGCAAACATGAAATAAAAACAGTTATTGTTTTATGTAACCGTTAAATGGCACAGAATTCAGACAATAGATTAAGTTCACGGGAAGTTTAATGAGAAGCAGAGTTTTGAAAAAACTATACTGTTCTTGTAAAGATATTTGAATATAGACTATTCTGCCTATGAGGTGAGGTTAATGAGCAGGAGTTTGGTGTGGATTGCTTCTGGAATTTGCAACAAAAGCCTCCTTTCATTCCCAAAAAAAGGATGGGAAATGATTTCTTGGATTTTTGTTTGCATTTAATTTTGACGTGGACTTTGTTTGAAAATAAAGTTAATATATGAACTTCTTGGCTATAATGAAATGTTGCAGCCAGCCCTGGGCCTATGTGCATCTGCTGCAGAGAAGTCGCAGCTGAAGCCCCAGCTTTGCTGCGAAGGCGAAGGAGCTGCGTGGGGCTGGAGGACTTTCTTTGTCTGCTTTAGGTGTCGCCCATCATCTCGTGCTGTGGGTTAGCTTAGCGGTCACGTGCTCCAAGGCAGCAGGGTTTTTCAGTAGTTGATTTTGAAATTTATCTCATGTTTTTGCTTCCTTATTTTGAGATGTAAAACAGATTTTCCGATGCGCTTTGCATTCCTGGTAGCATGGGAAAACAAGTGAATTTATATTGAAGAATTGTTAGAAGCTGACAGGTCAGAAATTTGTTCAGGATACCACAGGTCTTTAATTTATTTTGAGAGGTGGAGTGCGTGCGGAATTGAGCAGCTTATCCTGGCATCAGGTGAACTGTGCTGCGCAGCCCAAGGCAGAGGGGCACGTGCCGTGTTGGTCATTCGAACTGTGTGTCTCATGCAGAGTTTTGCATGTCCTGAATACAATGATCTGCAAGTGTATGGAGTCTGGGGCTTGATTTCTTTGGTTTGTTTGATTTTTGCTTCATTTTGTTAATTGCTTGTTGCTCTTTCCAAGATCAGAGGAGGGAAAAAGGAAGGAGGCTGAGGCTGCTCATGATGATCAGTGTGGATTTTTACACTTCTATTTTTGAACTGATGCTTATGTTTTCCAGATCTCTGGAAAGTACGAAAATGCACTAGCAACTCGGATAAGAAAAATGATCAGGAAAACCCTTTTACTTTTATTTATCATTAAGTACTCCCAGTCTCTGAATTGCAAATGGATGGACGATGAATAGTAAGGGGACTGTTATTGAACATAACATGAAATATACTTCGAAATATTGTAGAAGCTCTCGTGGAGATATAGCTGAATAATTACTAGATATATGTATGTGTGGAGAAAAATACATCTGAAATACCCCATAATGTACAGAATACATTGTGTGAATTGATTAAAGCTTTAGAATAACTACTAGTTGGGTACAAGTCAACAGATAATTCTGGGCTAGGGTTGCCATGGAAACAACCAGTGCTTGATATAATTGAGAACATCTTAAAAGCTCCTGGTGTTTGCATGCGTTTCCCCTGCCATTTTGAGTTGCTTTAGACATGAATAGGTAATGATGGTCAGACCAGAACTAGTTAATGAACAAAGCCAGATATCCGTGTCCTGAATATTGATTCTGTCTTACTCCTGGGATCTTGTGTTTCACAAGCTTTGGGGGGTTTTGTTATATGGGAGTTTTTTCTTTCATTTTTTTTTTTTTAAACGTGGTGAGATTTTAAGGACGAGAAGCTTTTTGGATTCTGTGCCTCCCTGCTTCCAGTTAGGGTGTATAAGTGTGTGTGGAGATAGAAGCAGGGATTTTGCAGAGATGAGCATACTTCATCAGCTCTTGGATTAATATTAAGAACAATATGTTTCTGAAAATTAGCTTTTCAACATGAATGGTAAGTCTTTTCTCTTACCTCTGACATTATTTTTTGTTTTGTCTTCACAATCAGAAAAAAAAATATACTGAGTTACCCCCTCTTCTCTGCATAACTATCAATAAATGCATTCATCTACTGATCATTTTGGTTTTGTAACTGACTTAGTATGGTTTTCAATTAAAAATTACTTATCTGAAAGATTTGCAGTTTGTATTAGGCATTGTTTCTGTTACCTAATGGGTAGTTAGTATTTTAAATGGTATTTTAAAGCTTTCTTTCAGAAATCTTTAAATTCCAAATCATTAAATAAGGCATAAAACCTGAGATTGAAAATTTTATAATTAAATGCTGTGTTTGTTAGTTTACTCTAAAAAATTTCTTTGGCACCATAATAAGTTATATTTTGTGAACTGATACAAATCAAACAAGCTTATTATTTTAATTATCATCTACAGATTCTGAAATGGGTTTTGTTGTTATTCATCTGGACCAACTTCTTTTCCGGTGGCTTTTATTCTTCCCAAATGATGGGATAGCAAAATACTTGAGGTCATTCGTGGAAGCAGGGGTGGAAAATGTCATTTAAAAAGATATATTTCAATAGAACTGGTAAACCTATCAGGCAAGTATTTGCTTTCCTCTCCCAAAATGACTACTTACTATACGTGGAATCTAATGGAATTATGGATTCGTTTATTCTAATTTGGAATATCCTTGAAAAGTCATGTCTGAATATATAAGGAATATCCATTAATTTCATTTGAAAAAGATATCCTTTGAAAATCATTTGCCAAAAGCCCAAATGGGTTTTTGAAATGATGCCTTTTTGTTTTGAGCAGGGAGTCTGGAGCTCTGTAAAATGACAGGATTTGTGATTGCTTTAGATAAAGAGGAAAAAAAGCATTAATTACACGGGGTGGTGTGTGTGTGTATGTGTGTGCGTCGGGTGTGTGTATGTGAGATTTTGCTTTACCCTACAAATGTAAAGGACCATTTTGACTAACGTTCCACTTCTGTGCATGACTCAAGGTAAAGAGTGGGGGAAATCATCACAACTCCCTATCTAATATCAATTTATAATGTGCTTGTCTAATAAAGGTGCTCTGAGGTCATCCTCACTGCACCGAAGTATATAGCTGTCACTTCTTTGGCATTGAAAAGCATGCTAAGGCACAGCTGGCCAAGCTGGCATAGCTGGGGCTCTGCCTGTGCAGCTGGCAGGGTTTGTTTTGGTGTTGGGACTGCCTAAAACACCCCTAGACATGGACAGCCCTTGGAAGGGCCGTCCCGATGGCCTTTCTGTGCCTCGCCACCTCGGGCTTGTGCGGATGTCCCCTTAGGCAGCCGTGTGGCCAGGTGTTCAGGGAAGGGTCTAGCATCGCGGGGGCTTGTGATTTTCTTGAAAAAGAAAAAATAAGTTTTTATTCTTCTTTTATTCTGAGTCATTTCAAGTGAATAAATTGCTCACAAAATCTAGGCTATGGGTTGTTTTTCTTCCTTTTTCTTCCTCAGGCTTTATTCAACAATTTGTGAGTGTAGATTTTCTCATCTTGACGTCCCAACTTGCAGTTCCATTTAAAAAGAAAAAAAAACTGCATCCACGTCTGTTCCCAAGCAAAATAATCCACAAATCAGAAGAATAACTGTTACAAAGGAAAGGTCAATCCCTTTGCTCTATTAACTGAGACCTAGATTAACTCCTGACCCTAAAAATTGGAAATAACTTTTGTGTTTTGGTACACATTTATGGTCGTCTTCAGTGCAGCAGTATTGCATCTTTTAAGTGGGTAAAATCGGATGGTCTCCTTGTGAAAGGTTATCAAAATGCACGTGCAACCCCCTTCAGTTGAATTGAAAATTGAATTTTCTTCAATTTCCTCAAATTTGTTTTGTTTGCTAGCATTTTTTCAGGAAGGCTCCAAATGTAAGTCTGTCTCTAAAGACTTGGAAGGATGACAAGCTCTTTGCTTTTCCAGGCCTGGTTTAGGGGGTGACCATGTAGTTTGAGTTGTTTTCTTTTACACAACAGACTATCCCCTAACAGGTAGAACTAGAAGGCCAAATAACTTTGCTGTAGTTAGATAACTTTACATAACCATTTTAAGAGGTCTGGTTCTGGTAGATCTTGTGTTACACTAGTAACTCCTGGTAAAATTAAGTTATTATTTGGGCTAACACTTTGAAAGCAGGAAGTCGCTGCTCATCTGGAAACTTGCTGCAAGCCCTTGGCCGTCTGGCCGCCTGGGCAGGTGGAGCAGTGTGAGGGAAGAGCAGTGCAGCACTAAGAGACTCTGCTGGATTCTGGGCAAGGTTTACAGGTCCTAGAGACTAACCCTTAAGAGCCAGACACAGGTCGCAAAAGTCACTGAGGGACTGAAGAATGTAGCAAGTGATTTACAAAGACAGCATAGAAAAATGGAGCGGGGAGTCAAGATTGCAATTGTGTGCGAGACGGAATAGAAGAAAAATGGATCTTAAATGTGAAGAAGTCTTAAAGTTGAAGACCTAGTGTTTGTTTGAGTGACTGAGTTGGGAGATGAAAATATAGAGAATTGAAAAAGATAACATGCCTCATGACAAGAAAAAAAAATGATTTGCTGTGTTTGAGATAAACGATAAGTTGGACAAGAACTTTGTAAGTACTGCTTGACAACGCTGGAAGGAAGAATGGTATTGGTTTCCTTTTGATGCACTCGGTTGCTGTGAAGAGCTTCAAGAAGCATCTTATTATTCCCACAGCTGGGAAGACTGTGGAAAATGGAAGGATGACAGGGCATGTCCAGGTGCCACCGCAGAGCATCTTTCTATATAGTTCTGGTGGGACAAACGGCTTCTTCCTCTTCAAAATTCCCCAGTGATGTTACCAGCTACCTCTGACAGAGTTTAGGATACTTTCATAAGTGTTGAGCTCAGTCATGTTGTTTTCTGTCTCCTCATTTAAATATTTGACAGAAAGCGGCATAACGCTGCTTTGATGTACCACTAAAAATGCGCGTACGTAGCGAGCAGCCACGAGGGTGCACGGTTTGGAGCCAAGCAGGGACTGAGTTTCACATGACTTACAGGGTTACTCCGAGGGGAACAGCTCCTTGTGTTGCAGTTGTTCATTCCTGTTGACCTGGTCTCTGTTACATCACAGAAGTTGTTTCTACTAGAAAAATTGTTCTCGTTTCTCACTTTTTTAATTATTTTTTTTCAGTTTAATTTGTATGCCGAATTGTCTATGTAGTTATTAGTTGCTTGGTTCTTTTGAGAGTTTAAATTACTGCTCCTATCACTATAGTAGGCCACAGTTCACAACATGAGTTTTGCATCTCTAATTATCAAGGTTCTTCTGGCAGTTTTATAACCTGCATCACGTTTTTGGTGTTATTTTGATCTTCATCTGACAGACGCGATAGCTCATTAAGAACTTGTGCTTTGTTTCCTGGGATTTCTTGGGTTTTGTTTTTCTAGGGTTTGCAACTCAGTTCTTGCACAAGTTCTGCCTTTGTCTGTTAGCAAATGAGCATTGGCTCTAACGTGCCATTTGGTTTCAAAATGAGATGTAAATACTCTTACCTACCTTTGCTTGCCCTGATCCTATGGCAAACCCAAGCCTGTTGTTTGCTTACTGTGTTGGATTGTGAAATGTATTTATTTACATAAGACTTCCTTCTTCAGGAAGTCACTCTCTGCTATTTAAGGTTTTAAGTGAACTTCTACTACTTGGCTAGTTACCGTAGGCAACCCTTTCCTGTAAATATTGATAGTGTGCTCTGTATGAGATATTTCAGTGCCGTGACGTGTCAGATTCGACTCTTAAAAGAGATGGGAAGCTGCTGCGCGGCCGTATTCGGTGCTCTGAGGATGCAGCTTGTAGGGCCCTGCGCGTTGTGTTAATGTTGGGGCCCAGGCCAAGCCATTCTGCAGGAAGCAGCCTCAGAAATACGGATGCAGTTAAAGCAAGATTGGCCCAAATTTTGCATGTTGTTAACTAAATAAAATTCAAGAAGGAGGTGTGCATGAGTTACTAGTGTTACTCTGACTCCTGGTATGAAATACATGGCAGCAGGGAGGAAAAGCGACCTGCGTTGCACACTTAAGTCTTCCTTAAATTGCATCCATGTAGTGAGCAATTTTTGAAGACGTTTAGTTTGCAGTATTAGGGGGGAAAAAGTTTAATAAAACTTGGAGTACTTCTCAAGAATAGGGTATTTGTGCATGGGTATATATGGTATTTTGAGAGCTTGTGGTGAAATTTGTCATTAAATATGCAGATCAACACCCTGCAGATTTTTTGCTTACAGTTCCTAATAGTCTAACCCTGAAACATATCCCCCTTGCTAGCAATCCAGTAACATGCTACACTCTTCAGTCACTGAACTTTTAATTAAGGAGCAAGGTGGGGAAGTAGCATAGGGAGGAAGTTCCTGTTAGGCAGTATCTCGCTGTGCAGAGGGACAGATGGACAGATGATGGATGGCCTCGCTACAGGAATCCTGTGGGAGGTGCGGGGAGCGTCTTGCTTGCTGTGTGTTACTGGCTGCGGGAGAAAAATCTGGTGGTTTCTTATATTCGTACTTAGCTAGTGGGATTTGTTAACAGCCTTTGCCCAAGACTGTAGCTATAGTTACAAGGTATCTTGTAGTAGTGCCCTAGAAAATTTTGTTCTTGGAGCTCATTCTTAAAATTTATTCCTTTTTTCCCGCGGTTACCATGGAAATACATGCACTGCAGACACAGAGGTGCTTGGAATTATAAAAGAAAATTTAAAACTGTGGGGGAATAGTGAAAACTGCTGCTAGTTGCATTTTGCCCGGTTAGCGTGTGCGCAGCACGTCTGCGGCATGCGGCGCCTCGTGCGGCGGCCCGCGCTGCACGGGCTGCTCCGGGGAGGCTTAATGCCTGCTGCCCAGCAGGCCTCTGGTGCCATTTCTCCACGTAACCCTTCGTGTGTGGTGTAGCTTTCTATATAGGGAGCATTTATAAGCAATCGTGCTAAACTTATTTCATTAGTTTTATTAAACTTGTTTTAT